TCGCCATCCTCCCTCTTCCTTTCCAAATTTGAGCCTGTCGAGCGCTGTCGAGCTTTACCTTTTGCATTCYGGACCTCGGAAGATGAAAGCGATACGAATATGCCATACCCGCTTTCCGCTTCTTTCCTTAGTTGGACTCTCAAACCTCGGAGTGAATCTTGCTTGCTGCATATTCCCAATTACTATCTCCCGACTTCTTTTTCTCAGATCTGCATTCCCTTCCCGCCCTGCCCGTTTGCTGTGTTCTGACCTCATTAAGAACGGGATTTTTTTTCAGTGTACTCCAATCGGGTCATCCCTTCCGAAAAGAAAGAAAAAACATCTAAGAAAGGTAACAGAAAAAGGGGGGGATGACAGACTATGACGAGATGTAATCGGGAACGTGAAATAAAGCGAGAGGAAAACATCGAAAAAACGTGACCGGGTACGCTCAAGATAAAGGAAAATAAAGAAAAGAAAATAAAGAAAGGGAAAGCCTTTAATTTTCCGAAAATATAAAGAAGTGAAACGGTAAAAAACACGGAGACGAACCCAAAATGAAATTGAAAAACGAAAAAAACTGAAAAACGAAGACCAGACAAGCCTTCTTCGGATAAATCTACTAAAAAATTCAAAAAGCGACTAAGTCCGGGGTACATGTCGGAGAGCAGGGCCCTCCACCGACTCCCGGACAATTTGGCAAACCTCGCCAAAGCCCTGAGAGAGACCTCCGGGGGATATCCCCGGAGGCGTGCTTCAAACATCACAGCAAATATGGCGGCCAGAGTGGCTTCGTCGAAGGTCGAAAGTCTGTATGCTCGTACCATACTAGCAACCAAAATCGTTCTCTTCGTCGATTTCTTAGAGAAAGAATCGAAGTCCTGCATGGAATGGATTCGGGCTCGACCGGTCAGGGCCAGGAAATGTTGATTCCATGTTTTCGGGAACACATGGATGCATATGGGGGCAATCTCCACAATCACTCTTGTTCCCAAAAATTCCATGGAATTCGCTCCCTCGTCTTTTCTTACCAAATGAAGAGTATTATCATAGCACGATTCAAATTGTTCCCAGATCCAATCTCCCCTCCTTCCTGCCTCTTGCCCCCTATCTGGACGGCCCACAAACAGGGCCACGTCATCTACAATCCTCATTCCTCTAACCCACCTTCTATCCTGTCCTAAGGAGTCTAGGAAGATCGCCTCCGATCTGGCGCATACTAGACATGCGAGCGTGGGGCTGGAACTCCTCCCCATCGGTATCCCAAAAACCTGTCTTTGAATCTCCCCAGCGCAGACAATAAATGCGCTGCTCAACTCAGATTTTACCGCCCTCTTCATCAGCTCAAAATCCATTAGTACAAAACCCTCGCTTCTCCTGTGGTTACGTGCCATTATGCATATCCTTCCCCTCTGACTCACCCTCACTTCCACCATATTTCTTCTGCAAAAATGTTCGATCACCCACTCTACTGCGTTCAGTACCGTATCATGAGAAAGCCTGGAAAACATATCTTTCACATCATAACTCCTAGCCCCCGCGGTCTCACACTTCTCTCCAAGATCCCTTTGAATATCTTCACATTTCTTTCTCAGGTCATCTACAGCTATCAAATCGAAATGATTCTGATCACCCAACGCAAACATCATGAACCGCACAGCCCGTCCTAGTCTCGATCCTGCCAACCTTGCTGGATCGTTGGTTGCGGGGGAAATGGGTCTCCACCTCTCAACATCCTTATCTTTCGGTAGCACGTAGGCTTCGCCGATCCTTCCCCCTTTACCCCACATGGCCAGCCTTCCCAGTCCCGCTCGATCATAACTCCTTTTCATACCTTCAATGATCTGTACTTTTGTCCTGGGTTCTGGTAGGAAGCTGGCACTCCAGTTAAAGGTCATATTACACGCATGTAAATATAGGACCGGACACAATATCAATGTTCCGCCTGGGTTCCGGTCGATCAGAACCGCCACCGGACCTGATAATGATTCCGCCCATTCCCTTACCTATCTTCCACTCATTGCTCTGCACTGTCCATGTGGCTGATAGTTGTAACAGTCCTCCAGTGTCTCCTTCTGTAAGCGAATCTGTCTTTTTCTACTCCACTGTCTCAGAGCGTCTGTGATACATTTCTTCAAAATCTCTATTGTTACCTCATCTCCGCTCGTAACGTTTCTGGAATTTTTTACAAAACCTGGCGTTGTTGGAACATCATCCAACCTTACCTTCACATGTCCCTGCACCCTGGGTCATGGTATTCCCACACACGTGCAGAATACCTTCTTGGCCCTCGCACACAAACGATGGCTATGCATAATCTGCCCTACGGTCAAGCTTTTTTTGAATACTACCCGAATACGCTGTGCTACGTACTTACTTATACTTCGGTCGATAATAACCTGTCCCACGGCCTTGGCTGTGACCTCCCTTACTCTACCTTTGTCGATCATTGTGGAGAACGGTATTTTCACGATAGGTCTCCTTCGGATTTCAGCCCCAAATATTGACCCTACTACCCTTACTATCTTGTTTTTCAATAGGTAGCGGGTTGCCTTCCTTCCAAAAGTAGCCGCGGTCTTGTATAGTGCCAATAATTCCAATGAGGTCTTCCTACACAGGGATTTCACTTTCCTTGGTTCCCTCAATAGTTCTTTGAGCACACTCTTCCGATGTTCCCTCCCGGAAGACGTCACTCTCACCCTCACAACTTCATACCTCCCACCTTTTTCCAATTTCTTCTTACAGTCTCTGAGAAAATGGTTCCTTCCTCTGACACGTATTACACTTTCCCCTACCTTGCTTCTGATACATCTCCATTTCTCATCCCAAATCTCCCCTCCGCCGGATATAATCACTCGAGGCTTCGGTTGTTGTTTCAGCAAGTCTATGAGTGAGGCTAACCCATTGAACATGATTATCTTACCTTGCTGGCCGTACGTTCTCCTCTTTCCCTCCGTCCCTTCCTCCTTCTTCTCTTACCCACCTTCTCGGCACGTCCCTGAATGTTAAGGGAAGGTGAAAATCGCTTAATCAACGTTCTCTCAGCCGTGATTGGCTCGTTCACCTTCGATACAGTTGGCAAAATCAAGTGCTTCTTCCACCCGAACATCTTCAGCCACAAGTGTAGCTTGGGCGAATTCCCCAACTTACCCGACATCGCAAATCTAATGTGCTCCGACCACCTCAGCAAAAAACTCCGGGTCGTATTCCCGATATAAAAGTGCCTACACCATGGGCTTACTAGCGCATATACACCTGAATCCCGTGTTGATAGTTCTTCATCCGCAACCATACTTACCCCCAACCATTTCTTTGCCCAAGGACAGTTTCCTCTAATCACTGCCAATAAGAACCGCCTGGCTATAAGATCCTCCCTGGCGTAATCTAGGAGATTCTCATGTGTACCTCTGCCCCTATTCTCATCTCCCATCAACTTCGCCAATTCTTCAAGATCCTCCATTATCAATTTTATTTTCCGGATAGGGAAGTAGCTCGACTCACCCTTGCTCCTTTGCCGTACGCCAGCCGCGTCCTACACCTCACAAGTTCATTGACGGCGATCTCCTTCCTTGTCCACTCGATACCTTCCTCATTACACATCTTTTTTAGTTCGGGCGCTTTCTTCGCTGACAGTTGCTCGTGCATTCCCAGTGCGAACTCCAGGATATCTTATTCATCTCCCTTCTTCACTGGGGTAAACACTTCATCTGGCAGGTCATCAACGTTAATCGGTGCGTTCCTCGTAGCTCTTACCCTTGCAGTCGAAATTTTGCCTTCCACCTCATTCACCTTCCGTTTCCCCTTCCGATTCTCTATGGCATTCACCAAGCGTTCGGCTTCTTCCCTTACCTCCTCACTATCGTCTTCCGACCCGTCAAAATAGCTCCGCATTTCTCTTAACATCCATGCCTTCGACCTTGGAGATTTCTTCTTCACCACCGGAGTTCTTGCCACGCTCATCGATCTACCGTGCTGACTCATCAATCTTAGCAGTTTCGCTTCGAGTTTCGCCTCCCTTGCCTCCGCATCTCTCAATCTATCGGCTTCCTTTTGATCTTCTTCCTCCCTTCTTCGCTTCTCCTCCTCTATCTTCTCTCTTCTCTCCTCCTCCAATTTCTTCTTCTGTATCTTCTTCCTGAAGTACGCTTTCATCTCCGCTGTCTCATCGTCAGCCTGCTGGATCGATGGCTGTTGGACTGACTGCTGTAGGAGCTGTTGGGTTGGTCGGCCATTCGCGGCGGCCCAACAGTTCCTCGCATAATGCCCTTGCTTACCGCACAAGTAGCACACGATCGCGCCGGTTTGTCCTCCTCCTGCTATGTTCTGCGGAATACCACTGGCGTACATCTGAGGAGGCACCCCAATGTGTTGTTGTCCCGCCATTTTTTATCGCCTTCTCCTATTCAGTCTCCTCCTCCTAAACCTTCTGTCTTTGATCCAACACCCCAAACTATGGAGGCGTCCTAATACTACTTCGAAGAGGTTAATCGCCTCTTCCTTCGACTCGGAATCTCCAAATTGCAACGCAACGAAGAACGAAGGAACCAAGGTCTCTTCGATAATCTTCTGAAACTCTAAGAACTGCCTCTCGAATTCTATTTCTCTAAAATCTCTAGTAGACATCCCTCCTAACCGCTTCTCAAAATGACCGCCGTGACACAGATACAGACGCTACACGCATAGCCCGATCCCTCTACCCTCTCTTTCACTCCTTGAATCATGAAGCAACTGCCCAAACACCCAATCGCGAAGTATCCGAGAGTCTTCAGACTCTTCCACTTCAGCTTCATGGACAGTCCAGATTCTACGGACGATCACGCCGTAGGTCAATTGAGTGTCCTGCTACCTCACACGAGCTTCACCGACTCTTCTCGGCGTACTCCCCCTCACCGGGTTCAGTTTCCGCTGTGAGACGGAAAGCTGCAAGCGTCATCGATGTCGTCCTTCTACGGTTGAAGCCGCGCAGCTGTGAAGATAGTACGATGTTGATGGACGAAGATCCTTCCTTCTGAGTTCACCCGTAGCCACCGATCAAGTATCAGATACGATGGTTACCACGCTAATCGAGATTCAAGTACGAGGAGCAAACGAGCACGAGTACATTCACATCACTCAAAATATACTCAGACTCCTCACAGATACAAGCACCAAGTATGAACGTGAGCCTTCCTTCGAAAAACGAACACCTCATCAAACACTCTCCCCGTTCACACTCTCAAAACTTCAGTTCACTCCTCCTGGCRCACATTGCCCCGACGCGTTTCGCTGTCGTTGTGCCTCGACRGTCTCATYAGGGGGCTTACACGAGGACTGCGTAAGTCCAAAAACTGAGATGTAGATCTTACATTGCCRCTCTTTAAAYACCTTCCTCGTTCGGGATCTCCARCACTATATCCCGGTGGTTCTTTCTGAGAARCTCCCRTCCTAYCTGCTATCCTACCCCTGCTCTCTCCTTCACTATCCTCCTAGCCCACCCCTTCTCCCAATTCTCTGAACGYRTGTACCCTACCGTTWGGCCATCGCTGTCTCTACCCCTTCGTCGCCCTTTCCCGTTCCTCCATTTCCCTTCATCTCCGGTCTCTGCTCCTCCCCTTCTGCCCCTTCCATCTTCCCACATCGCCATCCTCCCTCTTCCTTTCCAAATTTGAGCCTGTCGAGCGCTGTCGAGCTTTACCTTTTGCATTCTGGACCTCGGAAGATGAAAGCGATAC